TCAGAAGCTCCAGGATGGATCCCTTCTTCTCTGTGAGCACTTTAACCAGGGTCTGGATGAAGCAGGAGCCCTTCTCCTCACTCCTGTAGGCGAGGTACCCTGGGGATCCCAAGGGCGTGAGCTCAGGGGCGCTCCAGCGGGGGTGGGACTCTGGGGGTGCGAGACCCCAGCGGAGGACGGGCCCGAGCAGCGTCCCCGGCCGGGCATCGTGGGCACAGCAGAGGAGCAGGGAGCTCGTACCTTCAACGGTGGAGTAGACGTGGAGGGTGTCCGTGTACGTGGGGATGGTTTGGGTTTTGTCTTTAATCATCGCAATACTGTCTCCACCTACGACCTCACCGGAGTCCTTTCTTTCTGAAACACCAAGAAGAGGAAAAGAGAGTCAGAGAGGAGGTTGGGGAAAGGAGGAGGTCCTGCACCGCGAGGCCCGGCTGGAGCCCTGCGCCGGAGGTGGGCCCGGTGAGGGGCACAGGCTCCTCTTAGCTCTGTCCCCACCTCCTCGACAGGCCTGCACGATGTACACCTTAGGCTTTGCCCTCAGGGCCCGGCAGTTCTTGTTGTTCAGAACATTGAAGAGGTTCTCCAGCTTCACCATCTTCCCATCCTCCCCCTTGAGGAGCCCTTCTTGGCCATGCGCCATGAGCACCACGAAGGCGCAGCTGATGAAGTCCTCCCGGGCATCCATGTCCCGCTGGAATTTATCCAGTTCTTCCTGGAATTGCTGCAGCAAGGGGAACAGCGAGTCTCAGGAGGGGTCCTAGCGTCCAGGTGGTGGCCCAGCCCCCTCCCACGCTGGCCTGAGGCCGGCAGCACCGTACCTCGGCGGTGGGATCTTTCTTGACGGTGCTTTCAAATTTCAGCTGATGGAACATCCGTTTCAGGGCTGCCAGGTCTTCCTCTGAACCTTCCCGGGCTTTGGTAACACACAGTGTCAGGGCCAGACGGGCGCCTGACATGTCATACCTTTCCTGGGCCAAGACATGACAAAAAATCATCAGAGGCCAAGGAGAAGCAGGAGATACAGTGAGGGTTGCCAGGTCAAATGCAGGATGCTCAGTTACAATCAAATTTCAGATGGAAAAAAATACATATTTTTAGTATAAGTGTGTGCCAGATGTTGCATGGGGTGTACTTACGCTAAAGAGGTTGTTGTTGACGTGAATTCAGATTTGACTGCGCATCCTTTGTTTTTTGTTTGCTGAAGTTGGCTACGCAGCCTGGGATCTGGCTCTGTTGGTCCTTTATTCCCCCTCCACTGTCTCTGAAACACGGAAGCCCTCCCTCCCCCTGACCCCAGACGCCCCCAGCACTCCCGCTCCGATCTGCACTCAGCCCACCTCCTTTAAAGGCTGAGGATTGCTCATGTTTCTTCTG